GGACAGAGAGAAAATTAAATATGAAGTTGGATTGGAATAGGTGATGTAAGATTTTTTAATGATATTTCATTTGCTGCCAGCTTAGTGGAAGAACATGCATTCCTCTAGTGAATTTCCTGTCAGGGTTTTTATTAAGGTTTGCTTTGAAATACAAAATAGTAACAAAGCTATGTTTTATGATTTTTTTAAAGAAACCCTTATTCAGGTTAGATAAAAAAAGTGAGTCTTTGGGAAAAATGGCAGCATATATTTCTGACTTTTTGCTTCTTGACAAAGGTGCAATTCATGTTGAAATTGAACTTTTAAGTACACTCTGAAATGGTGCATTACACATGGATTGCTGTCAATATCGTACATGAGGGTTCTTGTTTTTTTTATTCCCTTCAGTGCCATGTCCTGCGCAATGTAATCTGAATTATATCTCTCTTGGGAGGAAAGCAGAATAGGTTACACAAGCTTTTCCTTAGTGAAATGAACATAAAACTCCATTACTCAGTTTAAACAGGTGCCTTTTTACACAGAGTCTTAAAGTGATGTAGAAACGCAGTTAAGTGACAGGCTCCTGGAGTTTTCCCCCCTGTTTGTATTTGACTTCTCTCCATACGTTGTCCGGCTAATTGATCTCAAGGGTCATTGTTTCTTTTGTCACTACCAGTGACTAACAGCATGCGGAACCAGTATGATGAATGCAGAGCATTAGATGGTGACAAAAGTGGTTCCTTTAATCAACTCTATGGCTCGATTTTCAGCCATTTGGGCATTTTGAATGCATCGGCAAATTTAAACCACGCCTTATCTTCACATCCTCCATTTGAGTAAGACGGACTTGTTTGATTCACAAGTATCTGGTCAGACAGCCTTCAGAAATCATCTTTGAATCTGATTAGTTTGTGGTACCAGCTAGGGAAAGAGCTTTTGGCCTCTTGGTCATGGGGCCAGAATACTGAGGGAATAAGACCATATGAGCACATATCGTACATATCAGATTTACAGCGCGGCACAATTCACTGTTCTTTTCTATTCATTTCAGTCCTGCAAAAATGTAATGGAAATGTATGGAGCAGAGCCACAATTTCAGTTTCACAGAGACCCGTAAAAACAGGCAGAGGAAATTTTAGACACCGTTCTTTCTTCAAGGAGCCCCTCTCTCACAAGTAACTCTATCTCCATTTATAGATTTTACCAAAATTGGGTTGCTTCTATTTTTTCCTAACTCTCCAGAAAAAAAAAATACTGCAATGGGCATTGTAGTGTGAAATTTAAATATTATGTAACGTGGGTGGTACATTCTAAAATACCAAAATATTACAAAACTTTCAAGGATACGCAAACTCCAAATGTTATTTTGGAGAGCATCCAGATTCTTCAAAAACAAGGATGAAAAATTTGATCAAATAAAAGCACCACCCTCTGTGACTTTTGGCCCTGCCTGGGCAGTTTAGATATACATCAGGAAATCAATTTACAGTGTAACAATATCTTAGTGCAGCACAGGACACTCGAGGGAATGTGTAGCAGCAATCTTGAGAAGCTGATGACAGATGGAACTAATATTTCGATTTGCTTTTTTGAAATGGATTTCAATGGAGACCAAATATATTTTCAGAGATACTAGTATCGCAACAGGGTGACATGCCACTCACTGCATGTTAAGGTCAACTTGTTCCAAATTAGACTTGGAGTCTAAGGAAAGTGCCAGATTATTTTTAAATAAAAATTTAGGCTGTTAATGTAGTCCTCAACAAGTATTCACATTTTTGTTTGCCATTGAAAGCTGATACCGTTCCGTGAGCTATTCAATACAGATCTTGACGTTTGTGTTTAAAAGAGAAGAGGGGTCAGCATGAAGTAAAATTTAGAGCATTTGTTTTTCGAAACGGGTATAAATTAAGTGGATTTTAGATGCTTTCAAATTAGTGATTGGTTAGGAAGAGACTGAAAGTGATTTAGATGTTTTGAAGATGCAATGAAACACCTCTTTATCTATTAAAAAACTAAAATGTATCCTATTTGAAATTGAATTATTTAGTGGTTTATTTTGGAAGGATAGATGACACTTTTTTTGTGTGCCTGGTGAGAAAGTGAAATACAAGTGAAACCATTACATTATGAACGTTTTACCATAGTTAGCCTGTATGCTTTCTTACAAAAGGCCTTTTCAGTGAAAGAAGGATGTAATCTATCAACTTTCCAGTAGAAGTAGTTTCAATGGACGTTTATGCCACTGAAGGATTTTATACATTTAAACTTCAAATCAAATCATGTCTAACTACAAATTTACTTCAAACATTTTGCTGAGAGTTTGTAGAAATGTTTCTATGGAAAAATGCCGAGTATAGTAAAGTATTGTAAAGCTTCTGCTGCTCCGGTCAGTGCCAAGCTAAGTTTTATTGAGCTGTCCAATCGGTGAGGAGATTGAGTGAGAATGCTGTGGCCTTTCTTGACAGAATAGGGGAATCAAAGCGCAAGAGTGAGTGAGGTATATGCCCAATGCCTGATGAGAAGATATTATTAGATATTACTTGAGTATCAGAGAGTCACCTTCTCTAAACTCCTTCAAATCCAGACTCAAAACCCTCTTCTTCAGAAAAACCTTTACTTAACTGGTTCCATTCTTCACCCCTCTGCTCTTCTTAGTACCACCATCCACAGTCTCCTCTATACTGTATATTGTAATTCTGTTTTATCTTGTGTATTCTTCTTATTTATTGTTTTATTCTTCTTGTTTAATGTTATTGTCATCCTGTAAAGCGCTTTGAGAAGCCACCTTTAAAGGCGCTATATAAAATAAAGTTTATTATTATTATTATTATTATTATTATTATTATTATTATTATGACTTGTAAAATCAACGAAGCAAGGTTAGGTATCACAGAGATTACATACAGTGGAGAAGTGATGGAAGCAGTGTTATCAAGTAATATGTAGTATGGACAGGTAAAAACAAGAGATAAGAGATACTTGAACTGAAGCTACAGAAATCCCAAAAGGCTTTGAACCTTCCACTGTCCTCTGGTGAAAATGATCTGATGGAAAAGGCAGTTTTTAATGGGTGAGCAGGGGCCAGTTTTAATAGATGAGTAGTCTAAAGTGCTACATTCCCCCTGAAGAGAAATAACAAAGCAGTCAGCAGGCTGGTTAATAATGAAGCCATTTTCAGGCCAATTAAAGGCATTAACAAATTGGAGTTAACGGGGCAATTAAATATTTTGTGTTGTGGAGTGACATTAGTGGCCATTAGGGTCAAGTGCAGTCTTGAAGAGAACAAAGGGAATGTTTATATGGGCTACTGTTGATTAAACCTTTTTACCTTGAAACCTAAAGCGTTCTCTCCAGTAAACCCTCATATACAGTACAAAACAGACTGTTACAAATTCTTATGTAAAAGTTTTACATAAGAATTTTAGGTGCTAGACATCGTGGTTGACTTGGTTTTTCTTTTAAGTGTCAGATGAAGGCTTTTAGCCAGGATGATAAAGTTAACAAGGTGTCTGCCTGGCCTTGAAGCTCTCCCTGTTCGTGGACATTGTCCACTACAGAGCTGTAGGAAGCATTTGAGCAAAGGTAAAAAAAAACAATGACATTGTGAACTTAATTCTCCTCTAGACAATGGGGAAAGCAAAATCCTCTTCACTGAAGATGTGTTTGGATCTTAAATAAAATGAAGAAAAAATAGTCAAGGAAGTGCTCCTTGTCCTCTGCCAGTGGGGGTCCAAAGCGTTCTTGACCAAAGCCAAGTGCAAATCAGTTGCAGTATCAGTATCCTCAAAGTAACTGACAAGGTCCATACCGCAGACAGAAGCTCGGGCCCTAGTGGAAACTGCTGAAATGCATTTAAAATAGCGAATGGGAGACGCGTCTCTACCCAAAGGGATGTGGGAGTCTGGAACCAGCTTCCAGGCCATTTTGTTGCTGCCGTTTTACCCTGGTTTCTTTCAAGAAACAGCTGGATGAGATCCTTGGATCAAGTAACTAATAAAACTACCAGACCTCCTGTTTGCGTCCTTCCTTGTGTTCTGAAAGCTGTGGGAATTCTTCTCCCCGGTCCTTTGGGGAAGCAGCTGAAGATCCCCCTGTTCTGTCTGTATTCCAGTTCATGCTGTTCTTATCAGTGTTCTTTATTCTGGGCCCCCAGCTGAGTCTAAGTGTTCTTCAGATCCACAAGTTAATTTCCCACATCAGTTAATGCGGGGTGGTCCAGCTCTGATCCAGGAGGGGGCTGGTGCACTTCAGGTTTTGCTTCTCCTTTAAAAGAGCAGTAGCTCATGCTGGGGGTGGGGGGTAAATTTGTCCAATTAAGACAATAACGAGCAGATTTAACTTACTCAGAGCTGAGCTGGAATGAAAACCTGCGGATGCATCGGCTCCTCCCGGGACTGGAGTGGGACCACCCTGGGATTGCAAATGATAGACCTAAACGTTAAAGAGATTTCCCAAACTTGGCACATGCTATAACTTTGAGATCTGAACATCTTTTTTTTTTACGAAACAAATGTCGCAACCCTTTTTACTGACTAAAGAGGGACTATTTAGGCAGAGAGGGTTGTACACGAGGTGAAAAGTTATTAGGCTGACACACATAATGCAGTCCTGTTTTTCTGTCCTGTTAGGGTCTCAGGGTCTTCTCCCCTGCTTCACTCACTTGGGTTCGTCACTGAAGCAGAGGGCAGGTGAAAGGCAGGTCTCAGGAACGTCACTCTGGGGTTGTGCAATGTACTTATCAACTATGTCTGAGCCTTTCCGTCAATTAATCAATTACGTCGGAGTCTTTCCGTGTTGCCCTTGCACAGCTTCATTAGCAGCCGGTTGGTCCCGTCCCCAGTAGCCACTGGGAATCCAGTGGTTGTGTGTTCCTGCTTAACACGCACATGTCTGGGGGGGACTAAACCTCTGCGAGTGCACCTGGTGTGGCAGACAATTAAAGAGCAATTAGGGTTTAACGGAGCATATTAAATATTTAATTACAACAGACCAGTTCATTTGCAGTTCTCTTTTATTAGGTGCGAAATCTCCGAATCCGCCGCCGACTCTCGAGGGCTCCGTCCAGAATGTGGAGCTGAAGTACTGCAGCAAATCATTGGTCAAATGTGCCTCTGGGACTGTGGGATCAATAAAAGTCTGTGCCAAAGCCCCAGGTATGTGCAGCTGGCCCGTGTAAAACTTTATTGCCTGTGTAGGAGAACTGGCTTATGTTTTTATAAGAAACATGACTAAAAAACCTTCTATTTACCTTTTCTGTGCACGATGATCATAATATTGATAAGGACATTATTCTATCTGCTAGGCTACAATTAATATTTTAGTTCCATCTTTTCTGCCTTTTCTGCTCCTGGAAAACACAATTAGAAAGTGGGAGATTAGTTGATCCTGTATCGCACAGACATTTGCAGCACTGCCTGCAGCCACTTATATTGTGGTCACATAACCAATTGGTTACAGTGGTTGAAATCTGCAGGAGGTCTTGACAGGTACAGCTTTGTATGTCCAGATGGCATTCAGATTGCCCACCCATTCAATAACAGGCATTCATACATGGCATGTGAGTGTTTACTGTGCCCAACTTATACATTTGATTATAAGTTCACTGTGTGTATAGTCTGCTAAAAGTTCACAATTTTTATTTTCCAGTGCCAACAGGAATGTATATATTGCTATGCCAGAATGTAAGATTGGTTTTCCAATATTGTTACAGACAGGTGGAACCATGCCTTGGTTCAATAAAAGTGAAATATCGTGTCAGGTGCTCAGCTTCAAAAGAAATATAACATATAAACTTGCAGCAGATTTACACAGGTACTTTGAGCAGGAGAATAATATTATTTTAACTGGTGTACAGGCATTTTATTGAACAGGTATGACACAGGTGACATGGTTATGCTGATTAACATTTATCATGAATGGGGTTCTGCTGTGAGTCACAGGCTAATAGAATCACCAGTGGAAGCAATTCAGGCTGTACTGTATGTACAAAAGCCTTGCCTCAGGTTGTATGTAGATTCTGCCCCATTTCTTGTCCTGTAGATCCAGGATGAGGACAAGCATGTTCAGGTTTCTGTGCCTTAAAGGCCATGAAGTCTCACTAGCTTGTCTCACAAATGCTTAGGGGAGCTCAAGTCCTGAAGTACTCTCGAAAGCAGCTGTGTTGTCCTGCTGCTGGAACGTGGTCCGGTCATGGTCAGGTCCTAGACTTTGTTCAGTGTAATGCCAAGCCATGCAGGCAGCTGGCCATCAATCCTCACCTGTCCAGACTGTCACACTTCGACCTCCCACTGATGAGTCTGCTGCACGGGATGAAAAGTGTGTCATTCTGCACGTCTCCATCACCTTTGCTCATACCCAGATTTGCTGGTGAAGCATGGTCTTCACAAACATTTGATTCACTGCTATAGAGAACTTGGTTCCAGTGCTGGTTAGTCCACCTGAGGTGATTTAGTCATCTGAAGTCTTGTTCCAGCATATCAGTGGTACAACTGTGTTGGTGTCTTGATAACTGGGGCATATTGGTTCCTTTCTTCATGCTATTTGTTTCTTGACCTTCACCAAGTTTGAGAGACAACAGATTAAAGTCAACAGATCACCAGTCTCCAATCAAACAACTGAACAGATTCATTATTATTTCTGCAATACAATATTCTTTCACTTGGATAAAAATTGTTTCATACCTGAACTGCTGTGCTACGTGTAACACGGGTTGTGTTACACAATGTACACCTTAGTTGAACTTGGGCTCCTCTTACATGTGCACTATTTTGGGTTCCTTTAAGATGAAAAGCGCCATCTAGAAGTGGTTAATTGTAGTATAGGTCTTAAAAACACCAGTTCTGATACTTGTAAGACTGCAGTCCTGTCATGGTCAGTCTTACAGTTGTGATTTCTTCTGCTTTATTCAGGAACAAATGAAGGTATGAAGGAGAAACTGGTACCCTTAATTCAAGGACCTTCAGACACGAAAGAGCTGCACTTGCGCAAGTGGCTCAATGAAAGCAGGAAGCCCGAGTCCCTGCTGGCACCAGACCTGCTGGCCTTCTCTGTGCAGGTCCCCCAGCAGATGGATGATTGCCACAGTTCTGGTGAGTCTCTGCAGGGTTGCTCTCATTCCGAGTAGGATGTAGATCTGGCAAATGTAAATGTTTCATTGCAGGTTTTGGAGCCTGCACTTTGTTTTTAAGGCTGTTTGAATTCAGGCTTGAAAAAATGCCTTACTGCCTAGTCTGTTTTTTTTTTTTTAAAAGATGGACACGATAGGTCACATTCATAAAATGCACCCCCATGTTCAACCTTCTTCACATGAAGGTAGTAACAGAACTGGAAACATCATTTACAGTACCATCACACCAGAGGCCAGTGTGAGAATTTCTTCAGTGCAGCTTAAATATTTTTTAGTGTTTTCAAAAATGCAAGTGAATCTCATGTGCTGGGGAGTGCTTTATGGAATTATGTAATTGGATCCATTGCTCTTTAAATTTTTCTAATGATGCGCAGACTGAACATTGTACCCTTCAACATGAGAGATTCAGTGCAGGATAGGAGTAATCACAGTGCACGAAAGCAGATCTTCAGAACAGCTATAGACATAACGGTGAATAATTCAGATGGAGGACATCAAAATTTGTTTAATCAAAGTTTAAGGATAGGATTAATATAAACATTGGTCCATTCTCAATTGCTTTATCACATACATGTTCAATTTCAGTTCTCGGGTAGAATCTCTATAAAGAATCCTGATATGATAGTATCATCTTTAACCTGTATGTCTATGTATTTGCATATCCTTTTTGTGAAAAATCCTTATTCACAAAAACAACAATATTACATCAGCTAATATTGTTTTTGTGAAGAAAGATTTTCTGATGATGCATGTGTACTGAGTCCTGAAATTATTTTAATTTTTTTCCCAAGTGAAGCTGTCCTGTTGTTTCAGTATAGTAAACGTATATTAATTGTTAGCAAAATCGTGACAGAAAGCATACTTTTTCATGAAGAATGTAAAATTTACAATGTATTTATGAAACGGCCATGTGCAATTATGGAATAAGTCACCACAGCGCGTATTCAGCAGGGGTTTGGTAATGAAGACTTCTGCCAAAGGGAAAGCTCTCAAGGCCATGGTCAGGCAAGGTCCCGAGCAAACTGCCTCTCATGCTGGGTCATAGGAAGAGTACCATGGGTTTCAGATTCCATTTTAGTGGTCTCTTTGAGCCTGAGAGGATGTGTTCCACAACTGCAGAGGAAAAGATACAGCACCTTAAAGGATTCTCATATTTTTCTAAGAGTCTTGTAAATCCTGTGTAAGCTAATGACAGGAATGTGAAATATTTTGCTTTAACCTTTTCTTTCTTGTTGCTTGTCTAAAAAAAACAAAACTGACGAGACCTTCAAAATCTTTAAGGTTAGGTGAATCTTGGGCTAATTTTTGGGTTTGATTTAGTCTAGAATTAATGTTAATGTCAGAGTAAGCGTTAATGGTAGGGTTAATGTTAGAGCCTGGTTTATCGTTTAAGAAAGGATTCAGGTCTGAACGGCCAGACGATGAAGCATAAGTAGTGCCATAAACATGTCTACAAGTTGAGTTGTAAACATGTGGTGTGGAGGTGAAGTTGGCCTTACTGTACTGTTCGAGAAAATGTCTGTTTTTAGCATTTGTTTAAATTAGCAAATGTCATTCATTTCAAGGACTCCTCAAGGAAGAAACCAGGGCACGTCACTGTCTTTTCAGTTGTGAAGTATGAAGATACTCCTTTGGATCTCCAAATATACAGTTTAATAGCCTTTTTATTGTTCAAAGAAATGAGCAATCAGATTCAACAGACCCTTTTGCAGTACTTGATAGCCACATTGTAACACCACTCCCTTAAACCTGCTGTTTTTTTATTCTTTTATTTTATCGGGTAGGCCAATTGAGAATAAATTCCTGTTTACAGTGAATAAACAGCCTGGGGACTGGAGCAGTGCGAGTGAAGGATGTTGCAACAGGATACAATAGCTGTGTCCCAGGACTCTCCCTCTAGTTCCTGAGCCCCATCAACTCCATGCTGCTGCCTTAAAATACAGTATAAAGTCCGCCCTCTTTTGGCTTATAACACTGAAGATATAGTCGTCAGATAAAGACAAAAGCTCAGCTACGTTTTTAGTCCTTGGTTGTGTACTTTTTGAACTGGCTGTGAAAATAGTGATACAAGTACCCTTAAACTTGAAGCCTTATTTATGATTCCCTTTAAAATTTAAGATCTGAGTTTATAGCTGTTTGGTAAAGTTTAACAAACTTACTCTTGTTGATTCTGTGAAAACAACGCAAACAAGCGGTAGGGAAAAGCAGAAAATGACAATGAACAGAAATAAGGATATAAGTATACTTAACGTACAAAAAAAATTAAATGTCTTCATTGAAGTTAAAATAGTCTTCAGTAAAGCCTGCCTTTCCGGAAAATGTTGAATCTCAGTGGAAATATGTCAAGGTTGTTTATTAAAACACAGTCATTCTTTATGTGAATGGCAATATTTCTGTCCGCAAAACATTGCTCTGTAAATGCTATGTGCAATTGGTTTATTATTAAAACCTGATATGCACAAAATACAGAAAACAGGGGAGCTGAGAATGAAATATGGGGAGTGAGATCAGTCTCAGAAGCGGTGGATATTTCAAGCAGATGTCAAAAACCAGAGGCCTTCTTCTTACTGATGTCACACTTGTGGCTAACGCTGTTCTTCAAGGAGACCTCCCACAGTCATTTTATATGGACAGGCCCACTCCGTACTTACATGTCAGATGTTTCAGCTTTAATTGAATTAGAGTGCATCAGCAGAGCGCATATGAATATACAGCCTATTTCTGCCAAGCCTGTTCTTTCATCTAAACTAAAAAGATCCATTCTGACCCATTTGAAACTGCTTTTCTTAACCTGTTCCTATAAGAGTTCTCAGTCAGACATGTCCTTCTTTTTTTAGATTTTGTTCTTATTGTTCAGTGAACTTTGGAATAAATCATCATCATCATAACATAAGAAAGTGGGCAGAGGCCATCCAACCCATCTTGCACGCCTGACTTCTAATTAGCTGATTAATCTGAGCATCCAAATTTGCCATTTTTTAAAGAGGAGATGGTACTGATGTTGAAAACATGGCTGGGTAGTTCATTCCAGACTCCAGGAAGAGACTGTCTGGCCTATCTAGGGTGTTCCTGGATAAAGAACACAGACCAGAAACGTTTTCAAACCCACAATACCTGGTTTAGGAAGCCCGTTCAGCATCCAGTAGATCACTGGGGCACACTACTTTTCTGAGATTAACGCTTAAGATTTGTAGCGCCAACTTGCCACAGTAGTAAATTAGCAAGCCTGTGACCTGAGAGAAATCTGAAACATTCCTCATTGTATTACTTTTTAATGCACCCCACTCCCTGGGACTAATTCCTAGTTCAGCGTTTGTGATCATGACATTTTTAAATCATTACAGCTCTTGGCCTGGAGATCAAACATGTTCTATTTTGAGCCTTGTTTTTCTCATGAGACTATGTTGATTTTATTTGGAAGTGATTTTTAAACCATGATGATTATGCATTCATTGAAACAATGCAAGGGGTGCTGTTCGACTCCAAGCAGACATAAAAAAGTCTTTTGAAAGCAGCTATTTTTCTTTTTAGTTTCTATTTCTGATAACATTCTACTGTTCCGGTGAAATTTTGCCTTTTACTCATTCTCCGAGTTCTTCCCTTTTTATGTTCAGGACTGAAACATTTTATATATTGAAATGAGCTAAATCAGCATAGTATGAATTATTAAAATACTATATTACCTTTTAACTTAATGAAATGTGATTAAAATTAACCAAAGATAAAACTGGTAAACTATGACATAGTATGATTTTCAGAATGAACATTAATGCAGAAGAGTCACTCCTGCAAAAAAGCTGAGGGAACCCTCCTGCTGAAATAAATTGTCTTGATCTTCTCATGCCCTGCAGATTTAAACTGCTTACCATTTTTGACGGCATCAGCAAGAGCAGTACATGCTAATCAAACTCTCATTTTTTATTCTTCATTTATATACTTTCCAGCTGCTACATTTCCTTTTAAAATGTGTAGAAAGTTTATTTTTTTCTGATTTGACAAGTGTTAATGTATCCATACTTGTTTAAATCATGAATATATTTAGACATGGTAAGGGCCAGCATTAGGCATTGGACCCTTTTGCTTATCTGAAAGATGGCCCCAAAACAATATCCAAAATATACATTTTTAATTACCCAGAAATCGCCATTATGATTTGTTTAGTTTTTCGCATGGAAACTGCAAGAATCTTTCTTGCAGTTTTTCAAACAAGTGGTCTTTGAAGTTGGTTATCTACATCTGTTTTGTGTTGCATTGTTTGCCAGCAAATTAAAATAAATTCAATTTTTTTTAAATGCAAGTCTTAATTTGAAAAAAAAAACGTGTACTTCCTAACTGTTTCTGTTTAATGGAACAGACATTAAAAAAGTAATAAATGAAAGTCGTATACATTGAAGTTTTTGTACAGTGTACTAAATGGCACCAAGAAGTCAGTGTTTGTTGTAGGACCCATAATGACAGCCTGCATTTAAGTAGTGAACATAAGCAATATAGCATGCACTGTATCTTCAGTGTTAATGGATTTTGGTTGCTCAGCTTGCCTTAATGACAATAGGAGAAAAAACTTCATATGTTGGGAGTTATTCCTTTGTTTGTCTGCGACGTTAAAGGTTACAAGGCAGTAATGAGGTCTGACTGACCACGAGTGAACCCTGTTTTCTAATTAATTGTCCGTGACCAAGAAGAACTGTAGTGCAATGGTCTGCTTTTTCAGCTTCTCCTACAGCTCCCCAAAATTTAAAATAAAAAAGTCTGTGGCTATTACAGCAGCAACATTATCACAGAAAAATTTAGATGACAAAGTTTTGCTGTATTTAAAAAATACGATTTTCTCTTACCAGAGAGCAGAGGAGAGAAAAGTGGGAAACCAGGATGATTATCATGAGCAATACTCCTGCCTTCCTTAATTATGTTAAGGTGGCTTCATTATATTGGTGCACAATGAAGCCCTCTAATGCAGCAGCT